AGTTTGTTAAGAATTTTCATGCTCTCGCTGATCTCGCAATTTACGAGTTATCAAACACCGCTTTCTTCGCACTGACCCCTCATAAAATTCAATAACAGGCTATAAAATCTTTAAAAGTAGCATATGTTAAATTCCCGATTAAGAGCTGCCATTATTTTTTTTCAGTCATTACTCAGTTCGTTATGTCAATGTCCAGTTTTCTTATTAAGATAACTTAAGAATTTTTTTTGTCCTCTGAACTTTATTTATTAAAATTCCCTTTCTTCGTAGTTACGTTACATAAAATTCAATAGCAAAATCATAAACTATTTAAAAACAGCATATCTTTAGAATTCCGGATTGAGTGTTAAGTGTTGCCATATGTTTTTTTATATTCGTTTTCTTTAAAAATAATATATGGCGACGACATTTCGGGGCAACATTCTTTTATTTGTGTTGCCATACATGTTTTTATATTCGCTATATTACATCTTCAAAAATAATAAAAGGCAACATCCTTTTAATTTGAAAAATTATATAAACATAAAAATAAGCATCGCATCTGTGGTGCTAAAAATTACTCTCCTAAACAAAAAGAGAGAAAGAAAAGGAAGCGATAAATCATGACCACATCAACTTTACGAGCGACGTTTCAGGGTCTGAGTACTGGTCCATGACTCTTCATTTCAGTATCAGGATCGATAAATTAACATGACTAGAGTATAAAAAAAAGTCTTTCAACTGAAAAATTAAAAGAATTTGCATGATAGATGCATCTATTGAAACGAATCACGTTCTTCGTACTTAAACCATAAAATTCAGTTCAACAGCAATATCGCAAAATAATTTTAAAATGAGCACATCTTTAGAATTTTCGATTCACAGTCTCGCGTACCGGAGATAATTTTTTTTTTTTTTCTTCCGTACAGTGTTGTCATTGCTTGCTTTCAAATCGTTTAGTTTGCTAATCACAAATTCGTTGAAGTGTTATAAAATATGAAATCGATAATAAAACAAATTTCAAATTCAAATTACGGCTTTCGCGTGCCTATATTCTTTGGAAGATTACGTTATTCAAATTTTGATGGCTCTTGGTACCTTTGTTTTATCCCAATGCGAGAAACATACATACATGCAGTCATGCAGATTCTTCATTATTTGATTTCTTTAAATATAACACAGGGTGATAATATTTGGCGGTAACAATTTGAAAAGTGAAACAACACTTATCGTCAATCGAAATTAATAGTCCTTCTGGGCAAATACCCTTTGGACTAATAATTAAAACAATTAATTATTAAAGTAATTAAAATTTAGTAAAATGTAAAGAAATAAATTAAAATTTAATAAGCGATTTTAATAAAATTTTATTACTTAAAATAAAATTTTCGAGATCAAATTTTTACTGAAATTGTTGTTTCAGTTACATAAAAGAAGTGCCGGAGCCTTCTTATTTAGGCACCGGTGCGGTCTGGCTAGAATTATGATTTATATCAAAAATTAAGAACTACTGGAACCGGCGCAATTTAAGCTGTGATTTTAGCTTTTCATTAAGAAATTCTAATTTTTTCTTTCAAATGGCCCATCACTTTATCTCTCACAAGCATTTGTCGGGAGTGTTCTAACCGAGTGATCTGTAACTCAAACTGCATGCAGACCGAATGCTCGATCCAAAGGAAACCGATGGGCAAGAAAAAGAAAATCCATAAACAATATTAATAATAATGCAAAGAAAAAAAATGAAATTTATATTTATTTCTGTCTGAAATCTGAAGTTTTGTACCTGTAAAACATTTTTGTTCGTTACATTTTTTAATACAAATATACTGAGATTTAACTGTTAAATTCGATAGAGACATTTTCTTTCAAATAATTCTAACACGTTTAATTAATCATTAAGTGAATTACTTTAATATAAACCAAAAAAAATTATGAAAACTAAGTTTTCGGAGAAAATTAACAAAATGGGACAAATTTCGAGAATAAATAGTAATAATTTAGTCGCTTTCTGTTATTTAATTTTTTTCGATACATAAATAAAAATACGTATACTTTTCTTATTTGATTCTAGATATTGTCTCCATCACGGGTTGTAGAAAATCATAGGATCAATCATTCTTATTCATTTCAATTGTGAAAAACAGCTTTTCACATGTAAATGCATTTCCAAACATAGCGAGTATTCTTAGGGGAAGAATTCGTAACTGAGAATATTTTTTGAAAAGTATGAATAAAAGTTAATCAGATCTGAATCTTTAAATCTTTGAATAAGATTCGTGTTACAGTATAAATTAATTAGCCCCATTTATAGATTTTCTGGTGTTATTAGCTCAAAGGATGTTAGCCCAGAAGGGCTATTAATTTCACAACGGCATTTTGCGTCGATTCACTTTTCAAACTGTTGCCACCAAATATTATCACTAGGTATTATATTTAAAGAAACTAAATAATGAAGAATCTGCATGAATGTTTCTCGCATGGGAAGAAAAACGTAACCTAGAGTCATCAAATTTTAAATAACGTAGTCCTCCAACCGAACATGGGAACTTGGAAGCCCGAATTTTGAATTTGTTTTATTATCTATTTAATATTTTGTAAAACTTTTACTAAGTTTTTATCAACAAACTCAACAATTTCAAAGTGAGCGATGGTAACACTGTAAGGAAAAAAAAAAAAAAAAAAATCTCTAGCGCCCTAGACTGTATATCGAAAATTCTAAAGAAATGCTGTTTATAAATATTTTGTGATATTGCTGTTGAACTGAATTTTATGTGTTTTAAGTGCGAAGAACATGATAGTTAATAAATAAAGGTAACGCAGCAAACGTTAAAAAACACCCATTTTGGCGTAATATAAAATTGGAAAACTTTCACACTTCTTTTTTTACTTTATTTTATTTATGTTTATTTTTAATGGAAATGAAAATAACGTAAGCTTGGACTTCATATAACTAAAATCATGAAGTTTTTGCAACAAATGTATAATTGAAATGTTTTCGTGAGCCGCATGCGTTCCGCAGGCCGCCAGACTGATTTACAACTTCTGTCTTACAACTGGTTTTTATCCTGTCCCTTTAGGGGACTCATACACCTTAAACCCCTCATGATCTTCGAATATGTGACTGTTGCAAGAATTGGGATACAGTAAGACCCCGCTTAACGCGGGGGATACGTTCCATCGAAGTAGAGCGGAAACAGGTAAAAGGCTACTTACGGTAAACGGGTTAGGGGAGACGGTAAAAAATGGTTAGGCTTACATTTAATTGTTTTTTTATTAAAAATTAATCCAAACATATTTCTTACTTATAAACCATATACTTTTCCAAAACCCTAAAATTCCCGTCGATCATTCCGTCATTCGGGGTTTCCAATTTTTTCTGCCTTTGCAAGAAGGCATTATGATAGAGTGGCTATAGGCATGGCAATTGGGTAATTAGTCGCAATCCGTACTGACAGTCGTTTCCCATGCTCTATAATGTTATTTCTAGAGGGTAATTCAGTGCAGAGCTTGACGTATTGCAGTGCGAGACAGTATTTTTCTTTATTCTTAAGAATTGTCCTTTTGTTTAAGTGCCAAAATCAATGCGCACTAATTTGAGATTGACGTTCACCAGAATTCTAATCTTTAACACTGCATTTGAGTTTCCAGTGAATGCTTTTCTGGTTGGCTTTTTTTCGTTTTTTATTCACCATAAAAACTAAAGTAGAATATTTGAAATGGATATCGTTATAGTATTATACAAAGTAAAATTACATAATGTCAACAAGGTTTGAATGGTAAATAATGCGTCCTCGCACAAAACCAGGAAAACAGACTACACTGTTTGGATATGTTATTTGGAAACCTAGCGCTGCGCACAATTCGGGAATCCCCGGTTGACATAAAGAGCTCTAACGAAACCGCTAACGAAACATCGTTCGTGTCTTAACTCTTGTATTTTATTATTTAAAAGAAATAGTTAACTTTTACAGCGGACTACATAATATAGCTTTTGGAAATATAACCAGGAAAGTTTGGTTGCCACAAATATTTTTGAATTAATCCTCTTTGTGACAAAATATTTCGCATGTTTCCACCTTGCGCGATGATATTTTAAAAATGGCTAATGGAATACTGAAATTTGTGGAATTTTTCTAGGGGCATTTTTTTAACTGAACCAACAATCTGAGGATTTTTTAATACTGAAAAAGTTTCGGACGAAAAATTACAATTTTGTATTAAATACATTTTATTAAACTCACTCCGAATAAATACAATTTAATGAAATTTTTAGAATTTTAGGTTCACGTAGTTTCAAATGTTAAAAAGCTAATTTAATATGGAATTAAATTAGACATAATATTTAAAAACGGCGCGCCCAAGTTGGACACATGACGAAAATGTGTCACAAAGCGGATAAATTATAAAATTTTGGCAACACAAATTTTGATTATATTTCAGAAAGCAGCTCTTTATGTGTCAGCTTAAAACTGGTAAAATTGCTTTAAATAAAAAGTTATCTCAATTCTGCAACAGTCACCTATAACATCTTATGGGTTTTAAGGTGTATGTGTCCCCTTAAGTTGCTTTTTTTGTTAATTTAATAAAATAGTATTACTAGATTAATTATTATTTTTAACAATAATTAAATAAAATTAATTTAATTTTGGATGTGCAGAACGTATCCTCCCGTTTACATTATACGAAAGATTTTTATCGTTTGACACTAGTTCTCTTTAAGATGTCACTGTGAGAAAGCATTGTGAGGATTCAGCGCAGAAATAAAATGAGGGCTAGCTGTATTATTTTGAATACTTTCTGGATATAAATCTAACGTAACTGCTTTTTTTCTTTACGTTTCTCTATTTTGTCGGACGTTTAACTTTGCTTTTTTATAGTTTCTTATCACTTAACGAGTGAAACAAAACACCCCGGAAAGAAATTCTCACTTCCGGGCTAGAAATTCATTTGGGAGGGCCTTATGTCATCACAGTCTGACGTCACATCTGAACAGGCGCTCTCAACGCCACCGGATAAAAGCTATGACCTTGCGTAAGGTGACTTCCTCTCGCCCTCCTGTCAAAGCAGACGCTATCGTCGGAGCTGCGGGTAGTCACTGTCTGTCAAAATGAGTAAGCCAAAGGTGCTCGTTACAAGACCTGATGTTCCTATCGAAGGCATTCAATTGCTTAAGGAAAAGTGAGTTCCCATTAGTTCTACGTAATAAAACATTTTATTGTAAAGTTATGGTTTCTAGCTGATGAGAAACACCTGAAGCGTTTCGTTTGAACTGATTTCGTTCGTGCATTTGAATATAACATACCATATTTTAAAATATATCATTTATAATTTTTAATCATTTATACATTTTTAATTTTTAAATTATATATATCATATAATTGGCATATAATTGGAATTGGAATGATTTTATGTTATTGTTGCATGTTTTGGCAAGAAGAATTCCATGATTCCGAGAACTACAGAAATTCCTTTTGCACATTTTTTTTTTTTTTTTCATTCAAAAGGCTTTTAAAGCGGACAAATTTATATCACATTTCAATACGAAAATCACTAATTAATATTGCCTATAAAAACCGACTTATGAAGTTATCTTAATTGTTTATAGTGTGAATTGTAATTAGTTTATAGTAAACGCAATGCTTTCTTTGGTATCAGGGAAGAAAATGCTGAAAAAAAAATTATATTTATTTTTAGGAAAAATTATGGCAAAATTACGAATTGCCCTCATTCTTCCCCCTCAAAAAATCTGAGTGCTAAAAGGCAAACGATCATTTGTTAACTTTCTACAGTATTTTAAGATAAAGAATTTGCTAAAGCTAAAATATCGCGTGTTTTGTTTTCAAGCATTTTACTACTTAACAGAAATTTCTAAGTTTCTTTTAAAAGTTCTGAAAAATAGTTTTTGCTCTTGTTGGAAAGACACCGCCCCTAATTTCATCTTGCATTTCCTCTTTCACTATCCATTAGCAATAAATGAAAAAGGAAAGCGTAATATTTGCGTTTTTGTTTAGAACAACACTTTGAATACATTTCACTTTTTTACTTCCCAAGTGGCCCAATTAAGTGGCTAAGACCGTTTAATTGCTGAGAGTTCGACCTGGGTTTCATCACTTGCGAATTAAATGCGGCTAATATGCAACTTTAATTTTTATTGTTTTCCCCATATGTAACGTGAATACGAGCCAGTTTTCTTTAGAAAGTCTTCCACGAAAGCATCCTTTCCTGCACCAAGGGCCAAATAGTCAAGACCGCTGAAAATAGGTAGGTCAAACTTGGGTTCGAATCTAGGCGAACGAACTGGCTGCATGATGAGTTTTAGTTATTTTCCTCATGTGTGTAGCGTAAGAAACAGTTTCCTTTGGAAAGTCGTTCATGAAGGCATCCCTTCCCTTAGGCAAATAGCCCTACTAGTATGTTGTGTCGTATTCAAATAATCTAACCCTTTAAGCAGGTAGACTTCGCGTGATTTGCTATATTCGAATAATCTATGTTCAACTCTGGCTAATCGGCTGAAGTCGCGGAGCTACGACTGATCATTGGGGGTTCAGTTTCCGGCGGTTGGTGGTGTATTTAATAATGGGAAAGCACACTAAGGCTATCTGCCGAAGGGGAGGGATGCCTTCGTGGAGGACTTTCTAAGGGAAACTGGCTCGTATACACGTTACACACGCATTTTCCGGCGGTTGGAAAGGCTTTTTTACAGAAAAGTATTTCCGTATGTGTAATGCAAATATGAATCACTTTCTTGAGATAATTGGTATCCTTTATTTTATCATTTTAAGTTTTATCTTAACAATTAACGAAGTGTACTTTCCGCTAATAATGTATCGAAATAAAATTTACTCTGTAGTCTTTACAAACGTATATATTCTTTCAGTTGGTTAGTAGAATGTGGTATTTTATAATTCAATCACATTTTTTTGGAAACTGAACACCACGAATTTATAAGTTATTCTTTATAAAAAGTCTTAAAATGCTGAGCATGATTCAGTTTTTCTGTTAACTGAGATATCGCTATTAAAACTTTTTAAACTATTACTCTTAAAAATTTCAGGTACATTATGTAATAGCACTGATATTACCCCATACTGAGCTATGTTATTGTATGCAATATAACGAAAACGCTGACTGTTAAAAAATAACTTGTAATACAAAACCTATGAACAAAAGTCTAGTTTCACAAAATAAAATTAAAATTTAGCGTGACTCATTTTCATTCCATAAGCATGTCTTTTATATTATAAAAGCTTAAAATGGATAGTTACATATGAAAAATTTTCAGTAAAAATTTAGCTTGACGTTTATTTGATGTCAATATTAGCCAAAAACATAAGATAGTTGTCTGTTTTCTGGTAACAAAACTGAAAATAAAATCATTAAATTTATGAAAATCGTACGCAAAATATTTCAAAGGCTGCCATATCAAGTACTCTTTAGTGTTCGAATTGGTCTTAAACTAAAGTACCACACGTCCCGATTTTGGCGGGACAGTCCCGCTTTTTGAAGGACGGTCCCGCGGATTTTTAAAAATGTCCCGCTTTTTAGAAAACATATGCATTTCTTATTTTAAATGTACTGTAAAAATATATTACCTGTTATTTATTAATATTATAGTAAAATAAAGAAATAAAAAACGCGATTGTCGTTACGCCTCGTCAAGGAATATGTATTGTCAACGGAGGCGCAGCTAGCATTAGCTGAAGGGCTATTTGCTTTCCACACCATAAACCACAAAGTTTCAGATCAGCTGATTGTACGTCTCAAATGATCAAAACATTGTACGAAAAGAAATTTGCATGTGCACGGACAGAAACCGAAGCAATTATTTGTAATGTTTTTTCACCATATTCCTTTTTGACAATTGCAGAAAGAATTAGATAAATGCAAATTTATATCCATATATTATGATGCTTCCAACCATAAAGATTTAAAATTATTTCCCACAGTTGTTAGACTTTTGGATCCAGAAACAGGATTAAAATTAGAATATTAAATTTGTTTCATTGCCGGCTGAAAGTTCATAAATAATTTTTGATTCAATAAGTACTATTTAAAAAAAGAATAACTTGAACAATAAAATTGTTGCCTATTGTGAGGATAACACTAATGTAAATTTTGGTGGAAAAGCTAGAAAAGTCATCAATAACGTTTTTACGAAACTTAACATTTGAACCAAAAAATTATTGGAGTTGGTTGTGCAGCGCATATTCTACACAATACTATTCAAGCAGCATGTGACTTACTTCCAGTTGATGTTGAAAATATTATTGCAAAAATTTACTCTTATTTATATATATACTATGCATGTTGAAAATTTAAAGGATATTTGTGAAAGCGCAAAAATTGAATATAAAAGAATTATTGGTTACAGCAAAATACGAGGGTTAGCTCTTTGACCAGCTGCAGAAAATATTTTTAAAATATACGAACTATTAAAATCATACTTTTTATCACAAGATAAATGTCCAAGAATATTGCAGCTCTTTTTTGAAAATGACACATCACAAATTTGGCTTCAGTTCATCCAAAACAAGCTACATTATTTCACAATGCTGTGAAAATTATTGAAGGAGACAAAATTTCAATCACGGAAATATCAAATGAAATCAATAATTCAAAAACAAAATTGCGAGAAAGAATGGATAATGGTTACGTTCCTTAAGTTATTCGAAAGGACATCACTAGGTTTGAAGAACAAAGTGCAATTAAACGATCTGATTTTCTGAAAGAAGTCGGAAATGTTTATAATAACTGAGTGGAATATTTTGAAGAACGAACCGTTCAATTCGAGAATATTAAAAATTTTCAATGAGGGGCATTAAAAAAGGAGATTTTATGGGAATATGTGGAAACATGTTTTTAATATATTAGTAACCATTTTCGGAAAAATAATATTTTACGAAAGTGATCTTTTTCATGAGGTGTCATTGGTAAAAAGATACGTTACTGATTAAAAAATTAAATGTTCGTTGTCTGCAAATATGGAAACACAAAAAATAAACGTAGTTACTCCTTCATTTTAAACAGAATAATATTCTCTATGAAAATATTTTGAAAATTGTATAACAGGCACTTTCCCTTCCAGAAACAAATGCAGCAACAGAACGTGTTTTTTCTAGCATCAATAAAATATGGACAATTGAAAAAAGCGTTAAGTGAACATTAAAAAACTTTAAAATCTGTATTAAGCGTAAATTATAATTTGACCAATTCATGTGAGAAATTTAAACAAAATTTTTAATTAATTAAAAAACATAATATTCAAATTATTGTTTTTACAAATATTTTTATAGTTACCAATAGTTAATAATAAATATGCTTTGTGTATTTTATAGACAAGTTATGAATGTATACAATAAATACATTCTTTTTTGAATTTATTGGTCTGCTTTCATAACTAATTACAATTTTCATTTCATTCCGTTTGTCCCGCTTTGTCGCAATGAAAATGTGGTCACTTTATTCTAGATCCATAAAATACGGCTACCGATAGTGCAGAAAGTACCAGAGAAGTTATTGAAAAAGAAAAATTTTCGATTCACAAGTTAGTCGGAATTCTCAACACAGCAATTACAGAACTTGAACAATGGAACTTAGTAACTGAACAAGAAATTATATCTGTCTATAGAATTGAAAAGAAAGTATTAGCACTAAAAACAAAGCAACTTAAACAACTTACATTGGAAAGAAATGGTACAAATAACATAATAATAAGTTTTTTGGTACTATTCGGTTTCGAGGGCCGTAAAAAAATTGCAGCGAAAGTACACGCAAAAGCGCCAAATTTAGCAAAACGCGCCCATTTAACAGCGCGCCAAATCTAGCGTACGCGTGATTTCAGATTGCGCAGTTTATATAGTTCTATTTTCTTAAGACCCATTGAAATACTAGTTTAATTTTAAAGTATTTTTTTTTTAAATCCTTTTGATATCCTATGGATTTCAATTGGGAATTGCCCATGACAAAAGTCGGCATAGAATTTTGGGTAAAGTGCAGAATCACCCTGCTTGACGCGTTTTTAAGAATTGCAAATACTCGGTAGCCATTGCACATCGACCTATTTTTACTGTTAAAAATCTAGAATTGCACAAAAATGCATGCGCACACCCTTGACTTTATCTATGTACACATCGACCTATTTTCACTTAAAGTAAAAAGAAAATTGACAAAAATCTAAT